ATTAAATACACAAAAGTGGATTGGTTTTGGGATTTTAAAGCAAGCAATTAACTAAATTATTATATTAATAATTAAAAATAACTTGAACCGCTCCCGAGGATCACGAACCGGTCGATCTAACCCTTAAAAATGTTGAACCGGACCCCAACCAGCAGAAAAACACCCAAACCACCTCTTCCATCTTCTTCTTTGGTTCAACTTGCTTTTGTTTCCATTAACGAAATTTCAACCTAAAATGGACTCTAATGACTTCATAAAAATTACAAACCTTTCTTCACTCATTAAAAACCATACACATTAGGCCAATTACAATAATTGCATCAAATGGAAGCATAAAAAAAATGCCAAAACCATAAACATCCACTTTAGCAACTACAAAATTTCATTCACGAAATGGTACCCACCCTGCTCAAATTAATGTAAATAAAGTGCCTAAAACTTGCTCTCATACCAATTGATGGTGTTAATATAATGCGGAAGCAATTTGAATCTTAGGCACTCTAAGTACATCAATTATAGTAAATTAGCTAGCATGTTCAAAAGCATTAAAACTCAATGAGTTTGAATACTAACTTTTTGTAGTTTAAATTTCTTTTTCTTCACGAACCGGTTTTGAACCACCACTAGTGTCTTCCCTACTATTCTTCGGCGTTAGAATGAAATTGTGGAATGTGGTGAGTGACTAAACTTGGAAGAAATTTAGTATATCTGAAGAGAGAATTCATGAGGGACTTTATGAGGGACTTTCTCAAGTTTTTTTCAAGATGACTTCTTATGTACCTTGATCCCTCTATTTATAGGCTATATTTGCATGTTCATGCAAATTTGAGATTACCAAATTTTTTACACTCAAAATTTCACTCAAATTTGTGTGATTTATCGGGCAAACATGCAACTTTGGTTAAACCAAATTTTGACACTCAAAATTTCACTCAAATTTGTGAGATTATGGACAAACATGCAAGTTTGTTAAACCATATATTGACGTTCAATATTCCATAACTCAAACATAGAACTTAATGAAAACCTTTTTACTTTCTCTATTTTAATTCAACAATTAATTTCAAATCAAAATAATATTAATGATTAATTAAACAATTTAATTAATATTTAACACTAAATCAAATGTAATTCCAATCGATTTCGGCATATATTGATTATGAATCCTATTCATAATTAAAGTATTTAAATCTTATTTAAATATCTCCAATTCTCTCCTTTTGTTTAATTCGTAATTAAATCAAAATGCAGTTAAATATATAGTATAAATTTAGCGCATATTCTTTAATTTAAGCTCGAACACTTCAAACTCACTCGTCACACTATTCTAAGGTTTAGTCAGATATGAGCTAGCAAGGGGACCTAATGGACTTACAAATCATGGGCTCCAACGATCCGAGATTAACTGGCTAAAATCATTAACCTTTTAACCAACATTCATTAACTACTAGAACAATCCACTATAGCTTAGTAGTTGCACTCCCCTAACTATAGATATATTTCTGTTCATTTGATATAACCATGATTAATAAGTCGATCCTTCACAGGTTGTTCGTAACTAGAGTTGAATCAATTTACCGTTTTTATCCCTAAAGTTACTTCTTGTTCCTTAAGTCCCACTGATCCTCTAATGAACAATTGGTTTGTAGTCCAACCACCAAACCAAATCCCTCTCGGGCTAATGAGAGGGTGGGGCCCCTTGTTCAAGACCTGGGGTCAGTACTTAAGGGAACAACCTCTTTACTATCCCTAAAAGCGGGTAGGAGTGAGTTCTATCTTTCACCCTATGTCTCCAGCTATTCACCCAATCTTACCCTTGAAATGGGAGGCTTATTGAGTCGGCGAACTCAGGCCACTCTCACCCATGCAAATGTAAGATAATTCTGAATAAACAGGTGTTCATAGTTAGCTCAGGATTAAACTTGAGTTACCTAGGTCATCGAGTGAAAAAATCAGTCTCAACTGTAAACGGAAGTATAAATTAAGTAGTGCTATGTTCAATTTTTCTAAAGATCTATGATGCATAAAGAAAATTGAAGCATAGAGAGAGAATATGGAGTGATTCACTTTTTATTTATAGTTTTGCTTTTTTACTAGACTGAGGTGAGGAATACAACTTCATTCTGTAGAGGAGCCTAAGGAGAGATTGTAGGTCTAGCAGGTGGGGATGGGAACGCCACAGGAAGAAGCTATCTTTTTAGCATTGGGAGAGTCTAAATAAGGCTTCAATATTGGGATTTTCAGGTATCCACAAAGGCATCCCTCTTGCTTCTTCACTTTGTCACAGCATTCGGCTGTCGGTGGCTCTGAGGATTTTAATGCAGGAAGACATGCTCTCATCTCCGTAGGATCGCAATTCACCGCCTCTGCCACTCCAGCTCCAGTGAGGAGCGCCACCATCGCCATCACTGCCACCAGAAGGCAAAGCCTTTTCTTCATTGTTGTTGAAAAGAAAGATGAATATATTGGTTGTATTTGTGATGAAGTTTCAAGTAGTATTTATAGCGCTTGTAAAGTGGAAGCTGTGCACACAATACTTGCTTCTGGTCAGTTAGGAGTGCAGCCAAATTAATAACATCAATTACCATATATATAAAGGAAACGGAAGCCAACAAAGTGCCTAAAGTAAACATTTTTTTGGTGGTGTAACGGAAGGTAAGGGTCGCAAACCACCAAATGTGATAAGAACGGATGGTTGAAAATATGACAAAAGTCCTACGTCATCTAATCGAGGATCATAACAGACATATTAGGAATACAGTCTCACTATTCATGTGACACCATAAATAAAGTTAAGAGAATAGACACTATTATACTATATGTGAGAATTGATTGTTATCTAGTCTTTAAATAGGAATGATGAAATATTTTTCTCTTGATTCCCTCCCTTGGGTGATTGCAAAAATCTCATTCAAGAGTTGGTTCCATGGCTCATTCATCAAGTGTAGTAGGAAATGATAGCCTCGGTAATTTGAAGCAATATTGAGGAACGGGAGTGAATGTACTCGAATTAGGGAGAACACCGGTTATGACCAACCAAGAAAGTGGGCCTACCGCCGTATGATTATAATTGTGTGTTGTATGATGGCACGTGTCATATGTTTGTATATGTAAATTGTAATGAAATGAGATTTATATACTATGAGATGTGATTGTTTTATTTGATGAAGTGATATGTATAGATATGATATGTTGAAGACATGCTCAGGATATGTTGTGTGATTGTTATCATACATAATTTGTTAGGTGTACATTGTGAATTGTTATGTTTGAAAGCATGAAAAATGTTATGATATGATATATGTGACATGAATAGCATAGCATGATATGATTGAAATGAAAAACAATGACCTAGCATGAAATACAACTCCGACATACGCATGGAAGCTATGATAAATGATATGATACATTATGGGAAAGGATATGAAAAATGATATGATATGAAGAAGACATTAGTGTGGTTGTATTAAACCATAATGAAAATGGAAAAAAGTTGGGATCTCAAGTTTACATATGATTCAAATATTCAAACTATCAAGATTTTAGGGGATTGTTAGTAGATTTGAATTTATTTAGATTTTCATAATTTACTATTTATTTCTGATCCAGTGTATAAGCTTATAAATACTCGAATTAAGTAATTCATTGAGTGAGAAAATAATAATAAAGCACCACAGCTTTCATCTATTTCATCTTTTTATATCTCTTTCACTATCCCTTTTCCCAACAAATTTGGTATTAGAGCCAAGTTCCTTCGACACAAGGGTGAGTGATTATTTTCTTTCACAAAACAAAAATGGTAGCTGGTTTTTCTTCCTCTGCACCGTTGTTACCAATCTTTAATGGTGAGAAATATGAGTGGTGGAGCATCAAGATGAAGACCTTGCTCAGATTGCAGGAGCTATGGTACTTGGTGGAGCACGGGTTTTGTTGATGTATTAGAATCCACAATAGAAGAAAATGAGAGACTAAGATAAACCAAGAAACACGATGCCAAGGCTTCATTCACTATTCAGCAAGCAGTTCATGAGACTATTTTTTCACGAATTGCAGCAGGAACCACATCAAAGTAGGCATGGTCAATTTTATAGAAGAAGTTTCTAGGAGATTCAAAGGTCATAACAGTGAAATTGCAATCTCTAATACGTGATTTTGAAACTCTACTCATGACGAATGGCGAATCAATTGCAAACTTTTTGTCAAGAGCAATGACAATAGTCAGTCAGATGCGTACCTATAGAGAGAAAATTTGAGACGAAACAATTGTTGCAAAGGTGTTGAGAAGCCTAATTCCAAAGGTTAATCATGTGGTGGCTGCTATAGAAGAAGTTAAGAATCTATCCATATTCTTCGTTGATGAACTGATGGGCTCGCTTCAGGCTCATGAAGCAAGAATCAAAAGAGCATCAGAAAGGAACGAAGAAAAGACACTACAAGTGTAGGAGACAACCCACAACGAAAACAACGAAAGAAAAAATATTCATTTAGCAGGTAGAAGTCGTGGAAGAGGAGGATTTCACAGCTTTCATGGTGGTTGGTGATAACATGGGTAGATGGAGAAATGATGGACAGAGACAATTCAATGAACAAAGAAATGTCATACAATGTCACCATTGCAAAAGGTATGGGCACACAAAATCTGATTGTTGAGATGACAAGAAATATGTTACAAGCAAGGAGACTTCCAAACCAATTTTGGGCAGAAGTTGTAGCAACATCTATTTATCTATTAAACATCTCACCAACAAAAACTGTTATGAATCAAACTTCTTCTGAAGCATGACATAGAAGAAAACCATCTGTAAATCATTTACAAACTTTTGGTTGTGTTGCTTATGCTTTGAAACATCCTCAAATTCGTCAAAAGCTTGATGAAAAATCTAAAAAATGCATTTTCATTGTCTATTGTACTCAATCAAAGGCATATAAATTATACAATCCCTTCATGAAAAGATTTTGCATTTTCATTGGCTATTGTACTAAATCAAAGACATATAAATTATACAACCCCTTAGTGAAAAGATTTTAGTTAGAAGGGATGTAATATTTAATGAAAACGTGAGTTGGGATTGGAGTAGATTACCGTTGAAGTTTTACCAAATGAAGAGACAAGGGTCAACTCCAGTGCATCCATTGCAACACAAAATGTGTCAAAATCATCATCTTCAGCATCAATGAACAACAATTCTTCTCTTGAAAAACTTTCGGATGAGACACCTCTAAGGAAGTATAAATCTTTAGCTGACATATATGCATATGTCAATTTGCTCTTATTATTTAGACCCTATGAATTATGAAGAAGCAACTGAAAAAAAAAGACGGGAAGAAAGCCATGGCAGTAGAGATGCAGTTCATTAAGAAAAATGGAACATGGGATATGGTTAACTTACCAAATGAAAAGTTCTATGGAGGTTTACATGGGACATGCAGCCCATTGAGGTGACCTGTTTATCAGTTTGATAGAGTTGACAAGAAAAAGTTTATGTAACACCGACGGAGGAATTCATAAAGGAAGACAAAGAAACAAAGGTATAAAGACAAAGAAACAAAGGTATACAAGCTGAGTCAGACATTGTACGGGTTAAAAGAAGACATACTTACGAAGGTCTTGTCAAAAGAAAAGCTCTGTACTTGACATCTACAACTTTTAATCAAGGGGGAGTGTTGAGATATGGTTCAAAGTATTCAAAATTAAGATATGATTTAAAGTAGTTGAAATATGATTCAAATATTCAAACTACCAATATTTGAGAAGATTTGAGAAAATTGTTAGATTTGAATTTATGTAGATTTCCATAATTTACTATTTCGAAGATTTGAGAAGATTGTTAGATTTGAATTTATGTAGATTTCCATAATTTACTATTTCTAGTCCGGTGTATAAGCCTGTAATTGTGTAACTTTTAAGAGTGAGAAAATAATAATAAAGCACCCCAGCATTCATTTATTTCATCTTTTCATATCTCTTTCACTATCCCTTTTCCCAACACCTCATGCATTGGGGGCTACCCCTATTCCTTCATGATAGTACGGACACGTACGCTATGAGGCAAAGGAACGATAATTATATTTATCATAATGTTGCTGCAACGATTGTTATTCCTTACGGGTGTCCGGCATCAACAACTACTAGAGAATGCTCGCCCGACCAGAAAGGGTCCCAGAAAGTGTGCAAACCGATTAGAGATCAAAACAATTAAAAGGAAAATTAGAGACAAATATGTAAGCATGCCACTTTTTTATTTATAGCTTCATTTTGTAGCAGAGATTAAGTTGGCATATACCAACGTCGGTTTCATATGAGAGCATAGGGTTCTAGCACCTAGGGACGGCGATATGGCAGATGGAAGCAACCATTCTGGCGCGAGGAGATTGTACATAAGGTTTGAACCTTGGATCTTTTAGATACCCACAAAAGCATGGTTGCTGCTGCTTCAACTTCCGGCAGCAAGCAACTGTTGGCCGTGCCCCCGCTGACGTGATTGCACTGAGACATGGACTCAGCTCCGTGGGGTTGCAACTCACCGCCTCCCCAACGTGAGCTCCGGTGAGAATCGCCACCACCACGAGAAGGCAAAGGCCTGCGCTATGAAGGTTCTTCATTCTTTGGGTATGTGTGTGTATTTGGCAAAGGCTTCCACCTTGATTTATAGGCTCATGAAGTGAAATGTATGCACGTAATTGCCACCCCTTTCATTAATTTCGCACTCCTCACACCATCTTGTTTGTTAAGATTGCAGCCAAATTGATGACATCAAGTATAAAAGACAAATTTCTTTTTGGATAAAAGACAACGCAACAAGATTAAAAGGGAAGGATTGGAATAGTGTAACTGCAAATTTTAGTAAGCAACACGGGTGGCTAATAGGTGATTCGTACCATTCAAAGATAGCCAACCTACTTAAAATATTAGAGAGCTATAAAAATTTTCTAGATATTATTAGAACGATTAAGGTTCCATATAGATTAGAGAAATCTTATGGATTTATCCAAAATTCCGAATTTATTGAGTTGGTGAGTCGAACAAAAATAAGAACAATTAAACAATGATATGACAACAAAGTCGAGATTGATGAAGCATACATAAATTTTTTTCATTTATTTTATGCATAAAATACTTCCCAACGAAAACAAAGCATTATATTAATCACATAGTTAATCAGATTGATAATGTAATGGCTGAAGCTCACGAACAAGCATATATTTTCCTTTTTTAGGTTTCTCTCAAGTTTTTAAAACGTGTCTACTAGGAGAGATTTTCACACGCTTATAAAGAATGTTTTGTTCGCCTCTCCAACCAATGTGAGATCTCACAATCTACCCGTTTGGGGCCCAACGTCCTTGCTACCACTCGTTCCCTTCTGCTATCGATGTAAGATCTCACAATCCACCCTCTTTTGAGTCTCAATGTCCTCGCTGGCATACCGTCTAGTGTCCACTCTCTTAAGAGCTCAACATTCTTGATGTGAGATCTCATAGATAATATTAAATAACTATCAAATTTTTTAGAAACTTTGTAAAATATTAAGTTTCTAAGAAAAAAAAATAATAATAATAATACACCCCATCCATGTCAGATGAGTTTCTTTTCCTCTATTCCCTTTATTCAGGTTGCCTATAGCATCATATAAAGCAAAATCTCATGTAGTCTCATTAACTTTTTTTCCTTCTTTAATGAAGAGAGACTTAAACCTCAAATTTCATTGAAATTTTAAGTTTTGTTGAACTAGTTAATAAAAACAAATCATCAAAACTTCTAACTCCCCACCCACCTGTTGAAATTGAAGTTAAATTAAAAGTGAATAATATAACAAATTATATGGAATGTTTAGTCATTTTGGTCGTCTAGCTTATTTAAAAGTCCTCTTTTAACCAATCTTCCAATCCTATTGAGATTAATGTGACCTAGTTTTAAGTGTCAATGATAGGTATTAAGAAAAATTTTGTCGTTTATTTTGAGTTTCAGTTGTTTTAAACATCTTGATATTTAAAATAGCTTTTGTTTCTCTCGATTTTAACATATATAAGTCGTTTTCTAGTTTTGCATAACAAAAATGAATACCTCTTTTGAAAATGAACACTTCATTGATTTCAAAATATATTTTATACAATTGTTATAATAAACAAGAGATAGATATTAGATTTCTTTTCATTCTAGGAACAAAAATTACATTATCTAATATAATGAATTTATCTCCGAAAAACAACTTTAAATTTCCTACTGATGTTGCTGAGACAACTTCTCCTGTTTCAATCCTGAGTGTTATGTCGCCTTCCGCAAGCATTCTCCAAGAACTAGTTTACTGAAAAAAGAACAAATATGATGAGTGGCCCCTAAACCCAGTATCCAAGTTGAGTGATCATACTTTACTAAATATATTTCTCCAACTAGTAAATCATATTTACCTTGTTGAGCATTTTCGGCTTTCTTCTCTGCAAGGTATTTTGGGCAATGACTTTTTCTGTGCCCGTTTTCATTGCAATGGAAACATTTTTCATTATCTGCATTTTGAATCTTGCGTTTGCGGTCATTAGTAATCTTATCTTTTCCCTTACCTTTTTTGTCATATGCATCCCAAACTATTCAGTTTGCATTTGAGTCGGGGTTTAGGGGACAGACCTCATATCATCATTTAAAAGTATTGTGTTTAGGTTTGATTTCCTTCTTGTGTAATTGTCGCTGTTTAATTTCTCAGAAGCAAGTAATTTTACTATTAATTTCTTAAAAGCAAGTAATTTTACTATTGAGTTGAGATTTAAAACAAATTCTATTATTGCATTGACTTAAATCTTTTTTAATCCAATCAGGTTTAGCAAATGTAATAATGTACCCAAAAATTATTAATTTGTAACGATACTATTAGAGCAACTGCTACCGAGGAGTAGTCAATCACTCCTTCACTAAACCAAGATATTCTTGACTTAAACACTAATCCCAGAATAACTCTTATTCCTATAGTGTTTTAGTTATCGCCACTTTGGTCAAGAATATACTAACTCTTAGTAATTCTTCGTAGGTGTAACCCACCATTTTCAGATCTCAGAGATCGGCCCCAACAATGCTATCGAATGAATAAGCCAAAGTTGGGAATTGACCTAAGAAATCCTATCCATTTCTGGAGTTTGTATTGTTACGACTCTCCGAATGGGTAGTTACTCTAGGGTAACATGTAGGTGGAACATGGGAATCTCACGGTGCAGCCTAGTGGTGGAGACTAGGACGTGTTGATATACTTCCTTCTTCCACTTACTATAAATACTTTCTCTATTCATTACTCATGTAAATACCTTCCGAATGGAGGCCGCTCCCAAGGCGACACGATGCCGAACATGAATCTCACAGTGTGAATTTTTCAGAGAGCGTAAAAAGAAAACGATGTATCTCATATACCTTTTTCCTCCCACTAAGTATTTTAGATGGTTGGGTATACTCATTACTTAGGTATATTCCGGCTAATTAAATATAACCTAAGTCTAGGTGATTTTTACAAGTATAACATTTATACTGGATTTTTACCTATGATGTCTAGGTGATTTTTTTTTTTTTTTAATCCGTACATCATTCACGCATTCTCATAAAACTGAGATAACTAAGCTCAAGTATTGGCTCGATCTCCAGGTAGCAGGTGTTCTGTAAACCGTCAACTTAAGTATCTCTAGCCTTAAACAAGATCATGCCTCGTGAGCTTTCTTGTAACCGTTTTACAAGATATCGACCTATTTTAACTATTAAAATTGACCGCGCTTGGTTGTTAACCCTAAGCGAGCATGCATTTATCTTTGTTATAGATTTTAACGTCTAACTCATTTTATGACGTTGAAAATAACCTATAACATGCATTCAACATGCTTTATATAACTATTATATAATCATCCATGCCATGCAATAATATAACAATTTATATCTATAACTCATGAAACTCTATCACATGCATATTATACATTATAACACTTATAACATACCTATAATGCACGAAACATGCTTAGCCTATGATGGGATTTTAAATCTATATAACATACTTTATGCATATAAGTTTTCTATTTAATTAAAACATACA